TGCGTTACTTACGTCCACGACTACGACTGTCATATGTGCTTTGGCCCTTACATAAAGCGTCGTCTACAATGGCAGCAAGAGTATACATTGCAGTAATGGCGTTTTCGATTTACTACTCGACCCGACTCGGGTCGCATCAATGGCCGCATTCAGGAAAGACAACTGTTGAGTGAGCGGTCAGTGATTCTTTAATATGATTGGTTCTTACCTTTGGTTCTTCTCCGGATCTAAGTGTAAGAACCAATCATAATGAGCGCTCACTCAACAGTTGTGTTGCCTGAACGCGGCCATTGAACGTGGAATACATACATAGATATGTATGTATTCCACGTCAATGATTCTAGAGTCCTGTATACTAGAGTCCTATATTAGTAGAAAGACGCAAACTTGTTCCTCCTTCTGATTGGTCGGTTATAGACCAATAGACAGCAGGGCGTACGATCACAAGATGGCGGCGGCGGCAGAGTGGGAATGCCCGCATTATACAACTGACAGTGTTGACTAAAGTTTATAAATGCATATATATTATTATTTCTTGTGATCAAGGTAAGTAGAATAGTTATTTGTGTAACAAGTGCGGGAAGTTGAGAATTGGACACAAGTGCGGAGTGGACGCACGAGCCGAAGGCGAGTGCAATCACCCGCACGAGTGTCCAATTCTCATCCCGCACGTGTTACACACCCTATTTTATATTACAATGTGCGTGGAAAGTGGCCCATTATTGCGCGCGCGTCATCTGTGCGACGGATGGCCGATTCCATACACGAGTCAAAACAGTGCGGTAATGTTTACATTACCGCACAGTTTTGACTCGTGTATAGAATTGGCTATTTGTCACACAGATGGCGCGCGCGTAATGGGCCACTTTCCACGCACGTGTGATATAAATATCTTTTCTGTGTTGTTAAATAACTGCAGAGGACTTTACTGACATTGTGGGTTGCTTATTTGTGCCCTGCACCATATATGCAGCATAATCTTTTCATCCGTGTCGGATTCTTATTATAATTCGTTTATTATATCTATTTCAGATAAGGCACTGTTCAGTTAGTGGCTGTAATGTAAAGAAAAAGCAAGGCCTTATATTGTTTAAATTTTCAAAAAAACCAAAAAGGCGTGCAAAATGGATTTTATTAATGAATTCCGTCCAAATT